AAATAAGTTGGGGGGAGGTGCATATTCTCCTCTTAATAATGCCTTGAGCCATTCTTACTAATCCCAGATACTGACTACTCAGCAGTGAGTGAAAGGGTACTTTTCTGTGTCAGTGATGAAAGACGTAATGTTTGTACAGTAGTGAGACTACTCTGGAAGCATTTGGTCATACCTATTAATTCACCACCAGGGTTATACCCTGGAAAGAAAAAAAAAAAAAACAGTTCTGCAAGTTTGAAGCTGAAGCCAGCTGCAAGTACAGTACAATGCTGGAACTCTTCCCCCCATCGCCGCAATTCTGCCTCATGGTATCATTGAGACACCAAGAATCTTTCATTTTGCCCTCTAAAATACATTTCTTCAACAACTGCAATATTCGCGTGAAGCTTTTTTAAAAGTTCTTTTACAAGGTGGCAGATCCACCTGAAGCATAGAAGGAGAGGGCCGAGCCGACGTTCCGCCAGAGCTCAATTGCTGGTATGCGCACCTGTCATTTCCATCACGGACCAGGCACAGCAGGCGGCTGGGTGAACAATCTTGAGTCTTCTTTTGACATTACATTTGCCTTTATCCTGCATTACGGATTCCTGTATTCCCAGGAAAACTGGTCACAGGGTTGCTTCATTCTGCTTCCCATGACATCCTGATCAGCCTTGTTGGGTAGGGTTTAGCCAAGCCAGCTAGATGAAGTGGACAGGATTTCTGCTTACCCAGACTTTGGAAATGGGAGCCCTTACCTACCACTCTTGGGTTCCTGTCTGAATTTACAGAAAAATATTGCAGCACCCCTTAAAGAGACATCAAGGCTTCATGAGGTCTGTGCTTTGCAGAATCAAGGCATTATTGAAGAGGTAGAGTCAAGACATGGCAGCTGTACTCATAGAAGCCTGTCTTGATAGGAGTTGGAACTGAAGCCTGGCTTCAGTTGTTCACCAACCCCTCCTTTATGCTATTTCATTAAACAGCATTGGTTGACTCTTTGCAACTGTGAGTCATTTAAAGAAGGGCTTTTTTGTCTGCACGACTGGACAGCCTTCCCGTCTGCCGCAAAGGAATTTCATATTCCACCCCCCCCCCCAAATAGCTCTAGGTCTGTAACAGTTTATTGCACGAACAGCCCCCACACTCTTGTCTTTTGGATGGGGGCGGGAGGAGGAGAGGAATCCACCCTGCACAGATCAAACCTCTCCTCTTCGCTCTCATTCCCTGGCAGCTGGGATTCTTAATGTGTTAAGCAGGCCTCTGCTTCACTGGGGGAGAAATCTCCATTTCAAAGCCTGTGTGTCAACTTTAAGTGGGAATGCAAAAATGTCCTATGCAACTTCCTTCAGGGAGGAGGGAAGGGGATTGGTAAGAGATCGATTCATTTTTTAAAAGTTAAACTGATTTTTTAAAAACCAGATGCTAGCTTCTGAGAGGGTAACCGAAGTTTATTTCTCTCCCTCCCCTTTCTCAATTAGCACTGCAAACAAAAAGGGGGCGGGGGAGCCAAAAGAGGATGGGGTTGCAGAAGTCGAACTTACACACTGAGCTGGAAGGAGGGTAAACATGAAGAGGTAACAGGAACTGGGGGGGGGGTGGGAGGAGAGGAAGAAATGGAGTTTAGACATTTGTTAAAATACACACATACATGGAAAAGCGCCTGCCTGATATAAGCCATCTTGCCATGAGATGGTCTTTTTTTTTCCATAGGCTTCCAAAACCAGAAGGATTAAATTAAGAACAAAAGGGGGGAGATAAACCCATGGCCCCAACATTCCTTGGCAGAAGAAGTCCATTCTCAGCTCCCCTCTGGTCCACGTTGCAGCGTTCTGTCCAGAGGACACGGAAAGGGGGGTTGCTAAAAGTTTGGGTGTAGTCCCTACTTGTGTGGGGCAAGCAGCTGAAAGACCTTTGCCAAAAAGGGAACTAATGAGATCCATCTGTTGATGTATTCGCAGGGTTCCTAAGACAGGTTTGCAGAAAATGCTGGAAAAAGAACCATCTAGATGCAATCGCTATTTCAAAAAATGGAAAAAAGGCTGATAAGAAAACTCCAAGCTTGATCCTTTTGCACAGCAATTGATGCCATCTAAATTGGGTCCTAATATGAGCTTATGGTACTAATATAGAAAAAACAAAACAAAACTGGCTCTTACAAAAGTAATGGGGAGAGGGAAATGCCCCAATCTCATACTGAGAGGAGAAAAAAAGGGGGGGGGGGCATTTGTAGCTGAAAGCTTTGGACAAAATGTTGTTCTTGAATTTAGGAGCTCTACTGGAATCTGTGGAAAACACCTCTAATTTTACAACCTCCTGTCACCAGTTGCTTTGGAAAAACCCAATATTATGGCAGAAGGCAAAACACTCTAATTGGAAATAATAGAGATATTGACATACTTCATTGTGTAGTAGGCAACATTCAAGAACAAAGCATATGTACTGTTGTGCTACACAGTACGTACTTTTTTTTAGAAATAAAACCAGATAGAATTTGCTTCTCTGTCTAGGTGGACACATGTTTATAGCATTCCAGTGTCCATCTGGTTCACTTTAGTCACCCTTTGATTTTGGGCTTTAAACCACACTCCTTTCTCTGATGAAGAGTGTGAGTGTGTGTGTGTGTGTGTGTGTGTGCGCGTGCATGCATGCATGCAAGCAAGGAGTGTTGGAGGAAAAATTAGAGGTTTCCTTTTCCACTTCATTTTAAAATGTAGGATTCGGAATCGGAAGCCTTTCTCATCTCCTCCCTCTGCTCACCTACAGTATTATAAATCCCATTTTCCATTATTGTTTCTTCATCCAACCAAAGTTGTTTCCTTTATGATCATTTGGATGCAAAAGGAGTGGGAAATTATTTCTTTTCAAAGTTTTAAAACTTCACCAAATGACACAAGAAAGCAACCAGCACCATTAGCAACACAAAAGCACTCTAAGAATGACAATTTGCCAAGGGCAGGAGGGAGGAGAAAAGAGGGCAGCAGAGACTGCCACAGGGAAAAAAAATTCTAAATTTAATGGAAGTTTTTAAAAACCATTTGTGGTAGCAATAGGTTTCATTTCTTCTCTTAACTTCTTCCAAGTTTCACCCTTTAGCATCCTGTTCCAGCTTTAGACTTATTGCTAAGAGGTGTTATCATCCTAGAGGAATGGATGGAATTTTCTAGCTAATTTCTGGGTAGGATTAGAGCAGTTTCAGTAAAGCCTTTGAGAAACTTAGTTTAACCCAGAAATGGCTTTTTGTGTTTGTTTATAAATTAATTCCAACTGATGCTAAATTATTTAAATACTCTGAAAAAATCCAAAAGGAGTAAACTGGTTAGAAGGGTATTATTTAAAATACTAATCAGTCCTTTTTTAAAAAAAAGCACTAAATTTCAATATAGAAAACATTTCTTCCACCATAATAATTTAGACAGCAATTCTTAATTCTGAGCAAAAATGTTCAGGATCCAGTTATTAAGATTTACACTTTCACTGAAAGGATACAGGCACGCCAAGATTCTCAACATATTGGAAGTAAAAAGAGAAAAAAATTATAGCAGCCACATCTTTCACAGCTTGCATAACAGATGCAAAATGCATACGTGTGCAGTCGTCATACGTGGGGACTCAAAAGACAAATTTCACCATGTTTTGCTTCCATTGCTTTTTGCATAAAAAATGGTAAGAGGTTAATCTGCAGTGATTTCCATGGAAACGTCAGGCTGAGATTGTTCCTTAATGTTCTTGGAAATCAATTCTAAATCAGAGAAATTTGATTTGGAAAACTGGTTTAGATTTAAGGCTTTTTTCACTGAATATTGCTCCTACAGCTGTTTTACTGAATAATGAAGAAATCTGTTACTTTCCTGTAAGAGGCATCTAAAGAAGTTACCCAAATATCTATGAAATTTCTTGAGAACTGTAACAGGAAGTTGAGAAAAGTATATATCCTCAAGAGAAGAAAATTATAAAAGTTAGGCAGAAATGTAGTTTTTTATCTCCCATATGGGAGGAAAACTGTGGTAAAATGAAGTTCCTATGCTTCTCAAAAGACAGTATTTTTCAAATGAAGGAAATAAATTCCCCTTAAACCTTCTAAAATGCCACCAAGCATGTCCCAATAGCTTTTTTTTTTTAAGTTCCTTTCTTTAAGAAGAAAACAGGTCCATCTCTTCAAGCAAATGGGTATTGTGCTGTGAAGTATGCATTGCGGCGGGGACATCTCACAAATAAAATTACTTTGGAGGCAGCCGCTGCTGCATTTGAAAAATACTCAAACTGAATTTGCAAAGAACAAATCTGTTTAATAAAGGAAATGTCATTTTTAAAAAGCTACCTTTTGTACAAAACTTCTAGGAAAAAAATAGAAACATACAAATGTAACAGAAAGAGAATTCTGCAGCTTAAGGCAGGAAAAAAACTTTCTTGGAGGTCATAATTCTTTAGCAGAAATAAACATAAGAAAATCTTCACAGCCAAGGCCCAAATTTCAGCAAAGGCGAGAAGCCTCACCCATCTTCCCCAAACCCACCCCAAATATATTTTCATAGACACAGAACATTACTTGCCAACCTTCCAACCTGGAAAGGAAAAAATGAGATGGGAGAAGTCTTCCTGGAAACATATCAAAAACTGTAGCCTCCAAAAGGGAGTTGATGGGAGATGTTTTAGGTGGGTCGGGTGGTGGGAGTGATTCGAAACCTGGCTCTCATGTAAAGTTTAAGCAAAAGCCTATTAAGGGCCAACCCAAACAGCACACAGTCCTCCTGGCTCCAGAGAGAGGGAAGGGAAGGGGAAAGGGGGGAAAAATAGCACTCAAAGAAGAGGAGGTGGAAGAAAAAAGGTTTTCTTTCTCTGACCCCTCCATACTTTTCTGAAAAATAAAGTCCTTGCTGCTGTTCTCTATTTGTTTTTAAATAGAAATATATAATTAAATTTACAAATGCTATTTACAATTTTAATTACAAAAAGACACCCTTTAATAGTTAATTAAAAACCTAAAGCAAAAAAAAAAAGTTTAGAACTTGTTTTAATTAAAATGAGACAGTTTTAAATACTTGGGGTTTTTCTCCCTTGTTTTTCTTTTTTCCTCTCTGATTGTCAGAGGAGTTTCCAGCTCTGTGTAGTAAAGAAGCCCCACTCCCCAAATTCCAGGGAGGCTTTCCAAAGAACATCTCCCCATACGTACACAGCATCAGCTCATGGAGGGAGATACAGGCAGGTCTGATGTTTGTTTGAAACTCTGGAGCTGGCAACCTGGGTTCTTTGCGTCCTCCATTGTCCCTTCTCAAACAGTAGTCTCCCCATGTTTGCTGTTAGTTAGCCTGGTATAAAATTTCCTCCAGGAGTGAAGGGTTTTCCCGGACCAGATCCAGAAACCTGAGGTGATGCCCACAATGAGCGTCATGAGATACTTGATCATGTAGACAGTGAAGTCAGGAGTCATGCGTGGGGTGTATTGAAGTGGACAGGGAATGGCCAAACTCTTGCAGTTTTGGCTAATCCAGCTGCGCTCCCAGTGTTCACGGAAGGCCTGTTCATAGAAGTAGCAAGCAATAACAATGGTGGCTGGCACCGTGTAGAGGACACTGAAGACCCCAATGCGCACCATGAGACGCTCCAGCTTCTCGGTCTTGGTGCCCCCATGTTTCATGATGGTACGGATGCGGAAAAGTGACACAAAGCCTGCCAACAGAAATGAGGTGCCAATGAAGAGGTAGACAAAGAGGGGAGCTAAAACAAAGCCCCGAAGTGGGTCTATGTTGTTGAGCCCCACAAAACAGACACCACTGAGGAGGTCACCATCAATCTGCCCCATGGCAAGGATGGTGATAGTTTTGACAGCAGGCACAGCCCAGGCTGCCAAGTGGAAGTATTGTGAATTGGCTTCGATGGCTTCATGCCCCCACTTCATGCCAGCTGCAAGAAACCAAGTGAGGGACAAGATGACCCACCAGATCGAGCTGGCCATGCTGAAGAAGTACAGCATCATGAAGAGTATGGTGCAGCCTTCCTTTTTGGTACCTTGCACCACTGTCCGATAGCCATCATCTTGGAAACGTTCATTGCACACCACCCGTTCCTCCAGCACAAATCCTGCAATGTAGGCCACAGAGACCATGGTGTAACAGCCAGAGAGGAAGATGATGGGTCGTTCTGGGTAGCGGAAGCGCTGCATGTCCACCAGATAGGTGGTGACAGTAAAGAACGTGGAGGCACAGCACAGAACAGACCAGATGAGAATCCAGATGCGTGCAAAGTGGATCTCCTCTTGATTGAAGAACATGTGTCCATCATTCTTGGTGGGTTCACATGGTGCTGCACAATCTTTCTCTCCAAGAAACTTGTAATTGAGGTAGCTGGGCACTTTAAGGACTCGTGGACAGTGGAAGGGGTGGTCCAGGGTGGCATAACGTGGTGGCCCAGCAGTACCCTGTCCAGCAATTGGAGTGGCACTTGTAATCAGTGCTGGAGAGCCACCTTCCTCTGAATGGTTCTGCCCCACACAGATCTGCTCTGCCCCATGGCGGGGAAAGTTCTCGCAGCGCAGTCGTTCCGGCCACTGGAAGCCAAATTTGTTCATGAGGGCTTCGCAGCCTTGGCGCGCCCTCTCGCAAATGGATCGGCATGGTGGAATGGCTTGCTCCAAGACAGTGCACACCGGGGCATACATAGAGCACAGGAAGAACTTGAGCTCTGGGGAGCACTGGACCTTCACCAGAGGGTAGAACTGGTGGACCTCCAAGCCAGCATCTTCTTGGCTGGTATGTCCCAGCAAATTGGGCATGATCGTCTGGTTGTAGGCAATGTCAGTGCACAAGGGAATGGAGATAGGCTGGCAGAAGCCATGGTCGGGGATAGAAATGCCCTTCTCTCCGTGGAATTGGGCCCAGCAGGAACCCAGGAGCAGCAGCAGCAGCAGCAGGCAACGGGCCAAGGACGCGTCGGCACGGCGCATGGTGGTTTGCTCCCCCGTCAGCTCTTACGGACACCCGAGCGCTTTGTCTCCTCCCCAGGACGAGCTGGGATCTGTCACTCCCTTCGGGGACCCTAGTCCTGGCAAAACTTTTCGGGATCAGCCCCGGAGACCTGAGGGAGGCAAAACTCCACTCACCCAGCGGGAACTCTTCCTCGCCGCGCGTCTCTCCAAACGCCTTTCGCTTCCCTTTGTGTCTTCCCTCCCCAATTAGTCCGTTTCAAAGGAGGGCCCCCGGGCTGAGTTGAGCTTCGCCCAGCCTTCTCTTCTTTCTCCTCCCAACTTAATCAATTCCAGGCCGGCCCCTTCTCTCCTTCCCTCCCCCCGCCCGGCAGCTTGCATCTCCATCAAAGAGATCTTGGCTGCCTAAACCCCTTCCCAAAATTTCTTCTCGCCCAATCAGATTCAAATTCAGGGACCAGCCCTCCTCCCCTCCTTCCTCTCTGGGATTGGTCAGCCACCTCCGAAGGTGGGGGGGAGAGGAATAACTCGATCACGAACCAGAAGCCAAACTTCTTCTCTGCCCTACGATCCTGTGGCTGTTTTAGAGAAGAAATAATTTACCTTGGATTATCATTATTCACCTCCTGTGATCATTACTATTATTAGCAGGCAGATTACCTTGGTTGTGCGGCCACGTCAACTCCCTCCCCCTTCCCAAATTCTAATAAGCAAAGTGTAAGGCAGCTGCCTCTCCCTTCTCTATGCAAACAATTTCCAACCAAAACACACAAAAAAACTGCCTGGAACACAATTGAGGAGCTGATGTGTTTTCCCAGTTTTTTTCCTCCTCTTGCCTATGCTTTTTTTTTTCTCCTCCAACCAGTGTACTCTCTGGTGTTCTGTTTGGGGAAGGCCTTTGGTTACAACTCACACAATAGGTGAGCTGTTAACAATCTAGGTAGAAAGATTATTATTTCTTCTTCTTCACATCTTTCATGGCTAGTTTAGAGAGAGAGAGAGAGGGGAGAGTGTTCTGCCCGTCATTGCTCTTCAATAAACACAACTACATGTGTGGCAGGCTTAGAGGTTTTCCTGTCTTACTACTTCCTTATATAACAACTTGGGATTTGTAAGGTTGATTCCTTCAGTTTAAATAATATTAGCTTCTGTGATGAGAATCACAGAACATATAACCCAAAAGAGACCTTTTGGGTCATCTAATCCAACCTTCTCAGTGCAGGAATCCACTAAATCATCCTGGATAGATAACCACCCAACACCTGTTTGAAAACATTTAGCAAAGGAGAATCTGCCCCTGCTCGAGACAGACTGCTCCATGAGTTAGCATGCCTCACCATCAGGAAAGCTTCCTAACATTCAGCCTGAATCTTCTTTCTTTTAACTTTTATTGGTCTTTGTCTTGTTCTGGGTTTCAAATAAAAACATGTCCGCTCCATTGACAGCTTTCTAGATAGTAATAGATGGCTATCCTATTTCTCTTTGGTCTTCTGTTTTGCAAACTACACATGCCCAATTCCTTTCTTCACTCTTCATAGAGCTTGCTTCCATTCCAATTCCTTCTCTTCCTGGCAGCTCTGCCTTGAACCAATTCCTGATTCTCTGGGCCCCTTTTAAAATGCAGCACCCAGAAGTGGACATGGTACTTCAAGTGTGGTCTAATCAAAGCAGAGTACAATGGAACCGTTACCTCCTGTGATCTGAATGCAATGATTCTGTTCATACAGATTATAATTAGTCTGACTATAGTCAAGTACTTTGGCTTAATGTAGACACATGTAGACAAATGCTGAAAGATTGGAGAGAGAATCCAATTCAAGTATCTTCTCAATCATGAAACTCACTGGATGTCCCCAGGAAAGTTACTCATAGCCTAATTTATCTCATAATCCATGAACTGGGCAGGTGTGTGTGTGTGTATAGATATAGATATAGATATAGATATAGATATAGATATAGATATAGATATAGATATAGATATATTCGCTCATTCAAAATTAACCCTGTCGTGGACTTGGTTTAAATAAGCTCTTAAGGTGAAGCCCTTTGCTTAAGTACTGATGAGGAAGTTATAGCCCCACTATGCTAGCACAACTTGACATGCATCTGCAGGATTGCTTAGAAATACTTGAAGAATACACTAACCAATGGTGTTGCCAGACTTGGATCCCAAGTGTGGTTCCAAGATGCCACAGCCTGGATAGCTTCAAATTCAATGCCATAATCATCTTAAAAGAAAGAAACAGCAGACATTTTGTCCCTCCCCTGCCCACATTTCTCCCTTTCCTAGAGGGAGAAACCAAAATGCCAACTAGGGACATCTGCAGGGGGATCCCTCTCGATAGATGCCCCTGATGCCAAGTGCAATTGCAGCATAGCTTGGCAGCATGTCAAAGTTATTTGAAACTCAAAGAAAAGAAGAAAAGAAAATACACTGTTAATGTGAGCAGTATCACTGATGCTAACTGCTAAAATTGGGTCATACAAGTGACCCTTGCAATACGGCCCATGACCATGAGTGAGGTGGGGACAGTGAGCAGACCTTGGGCTGGAGGTCCAGAGAAGACTGGCTTGGGTGGCCATTATTAAGAGGGGGAAAATGGTGGCTAAACTGGAAAGTATACAGGAGCAATGTTAGACAGAACAACTGGCATTTCAAACAGTGGGCTTTTTCCAGTGCTGAGCTGGTGCTAGACATCTATCCTTGAGTCAGCTAAAAACTATACTATGCCATCATGAAATTCACTGCCTCTATTACAACTCTTCTGACTTGTTAAGCAAAGTGATTGGTTGATTCCTCAGTGTTGCTGCCCTCCTTTTGTACATAATTGTGCTGTTGTGTCTGGTTGTTTAAGAAGACTGCAGGGATCAGAGGAGAGGGGCCATCAGTTCTTAACACTGCTCTGATCCCACCCATTACTGAAGCTTAATAAATTTTACACACAGTTGGATGCTAAATATTTCATATTTAGACTAAGGATGACTTAAGCCTATCTTGATCATGAGCTGGAGACAAGATCAAGGGACAATCAAGGTTAATACAAAGTGTGGAAGTCCAGTGAGGTGCCTGCCCAAACCCAGGTTCTCCTCTAGAACAGAGAGAACACTATATGCAACATGCACTCCAGAAATTACAAGACTTCCTTATCCTTGTTGCCGTTTTCTGCCATGAAAAATGTAGGGCTCAAGGACAATGGAGCTGGTGTGGTAGATAAGCTCAGAATATATTGCAGTGAGTGAGCTGAGTCTCTGATCTCCAGAAGGGCACTGAAGAACTGATACAAACTATTAATACAAGTAGTGGTGATTAAAAATGACATGACCTATCTTTACAAAGCAAAATGGTATAGTATATATTATTCCCTTCTTGCAATACTTTGATAGGAGAAAGTATGGCTGATGACATTATTTTTCTTTAATACCAAGTTCTTTAAACAGGTATGTCCAAATGTTGTTGATCTACAACTCTCAGCATCCCTCATCATTAGCTGTGGGTACTGGGAATTCAATAGCATCTGGAAGGTCATAGGTTTCCATACAACACCTATTTATCTTATGGAAGAAGGATTCTGGGAAAGCTACAAGCCAACGATGTTCTAAAAATTATAGATAATTAATTGAGAGATGTACCAATGGCAATCAGCAACAAAAGCTGAATGGGCTTTATATCCTCAGAACATGGGGAGATCAATAATCTATTCCTCATAATCTCTTAAAATTTAATTTCTGTATTTAGAGGAAGAGTATCTGATTGTGAGATGCTGTGGATGGATAATAGAGGTAAAGAAAGAATTTGGATACAATGGACTTTCAATCTAATGTCTTGGTTTGCTAGTGTTCTTTTACAATCCAGACCGCATCAGCCTGAAATCTACCCCCAACTGTCACTTCTCTGCGGGTGGGTCTTTGCAATATTGATGAGCCAAAAAAGGGAAAGTAACGGCCATGAGGAAACAGTGAGAAAAAGCACACACAGTTCCTGAAATGCTGAAAGCACCACCAAGCCTTGGGACTGCACAGGTCCCCACTGATGGCTACAGAGTTGAATCTGCTGTATAGCTCCTAAGTTTATTGCCAAGATATAAAAACTGGTGGATCAAGTAAAAGGTATTTCTCTTGTTTATCCCTTTTTATCCTCCTTGTACTTTTACTTTTAAAGTGGTAGTAGTTATGTGAATATGTCCAATAACAACTCCATCAAAGTTTTTATTCCCAACCCACCTAAATTTCTTTACCTTACTGTAAATGAGAAAGAAGGAGCTTGGCCCTTTAAAACAGTCCCTTGAATGGGGATGCTCTTCCTCACTTATAATTGCCCCTTTTCTCTAACAAAGAAGGCCCATTATGACTCCTTTCTTTCTCAGTGGCACCTCTGTGCAAAGGCATTCTTTCTCATCTTAGTGTGAAGATGTATTTGGAAGGGGCAGAAATTAGACTGGGATGAGAGAGGAGGCTGAACATAATTATGCTAAATTTAGGGGCCATTACCAAGCAGATCTGAAGGCAACAGTAATTGCATTTTAATTACTGATGATGTTATTTTGGACTCCTTCATGCCTATTGGGGAGGTAGGGTGAGGATCTGAGGGATAATCCAGTGCTATCAGGAGACAAACTCTGGGTTAGAAAATATGTGATTAAGATTCAGTGTAATTGTGATTGATTAAATATCAATAATTAGTTTCATGTTGTGAGTTTTATTTGTGTTTGGTGGGATGAATATACAGTTTTTAAACATGTAGCAGTTTCAGTCCATTCTTAAGAAACACTTCAATCTTTTTGAAATTTTAAAAATAAAGAAGAACTATATACCCATAATCTTCTTCAGTTACTCATTGTGATGAAGACTGGGTTAGATCCAAGCTAAAAATAGGTGCAATTACTTCCTGGTGAAACCAATGAGACGGATTGGTCAAGAAAACTGATTCCAATGAACTTCCCTAGGAATTTACCTAATTTAGTGAGTGTCCTCTCCTGGGAACAAGCACCTCTGGACACAGACGTGCCAGGATTGCTCTACAGGCCTAGATCCTACCCACAGGGCCATTTTCTTGTGCAAATTCCATTAAAGTAGATGACTCCCACAGTCAATTATTTTAGTACCTGAGGTAGGATATGCCAGAACTGCTTCTCCCTTCCCATGGCAGTAAAAATACAACACAAATAAACTAAGAGTTTCAGGATTTTCCAAATCAGCTGCTTGATGTGGCAGCAGATGCACTACGCCTGCCTGCCTTGTTTTATTACAAATCTCTGGAGGAAGCTTCATTTCTGATCAAAATTGGTTTTCACCCAATGCCTGCTGTTCCCTTGCTTGCC